CGAGGCGCCCGCTGCGGGGCGCGGCTCCCGGCTCTGCGAGGGGGGAACGGGGCGACGGAGCCGCGGGCCGGGCCCACGCGGGCTCGGGGGCCGCACGCCTCTGTGTGCCGCGTCCCTGCGCGCGGCCGGCCTGCTGGAAGCGCGCGGCAGAGCGCCAGCCGAGCTCCCCGCTGCCTGCTTCGCCGCGGAGCCCGAGCAGCACATGGCAAAGGAAAACACGGGGCGTGCAGAACGCAAGCCGGGCTTTCTCACGCGCTCACAGAGGATGCGTTTGCAGTGATCTGATACCGTGGCATGACGGTTTAAAGCTTGGAATGGCGGAAAACCTTTGTGCTATGTAATTCACATATTTTTTTTCCCCTATATATATAAAAAAAACCCAAAGCATTTTGTCTAGAATGCTCATTTAATAACATTTCCATCAAAGGCCAACCCAGAACACAGACAGACAAATGATTACTCCATATTCCTGTGTTTATATCTATTAAGTACCACTGGAGAATCACTAATGGATGTAGTATTGATTGATTTCCGGTATAAATTGATATATTTGAAGCCAGTAATTCTCAGGTTACTGAAAACATTCAGCATCTCTTATGCAATACTGCTATATATATATATATATTTATATATATATATTTATTTATATATTTATATATATATACACTTATATATATATATAAAATGCTCCAGTAAAGAGATAATACTCCAATGGTATGATCTTCTAGCTCCATCACAATCTGATGCCTTGGAGAATCCTACCGGTTAGGTGAAATATTTTCAAACTGCTGCGAGGTGGAACTAGTCCCTACATGCAGTTTTCATTCGGAATATCCGTACAGCCTTTCTGGTGAGCTTGCAAAACACTTGGCTGTTTTTCTTGTTGTTCATACGGAGTGTGGATTTGTAGATCTGTGACCCGCAAACAACTCCCTGACAACTGAAAATTGTAAAACACAGCGCCGTATAAATGTAATTTGGGTTGGACTGAAGCCTGGTGAGCTGACAGCTAAGAGTGGCTGCCTGTTACAGAGGCGGTTATCAGAAGGGTGACCCAGAACATTTCAGCAGCCTGATTCCCTAAAAATGATTTGAACTCTTGTACTGTGGATTTGCTGCATCTCTAAATCTCACCATCTGTGCTTGGGTTAACCCTGCCTGGCTGAGAGCACTGCTGCTCTGAAATGGCTCTCCAGCAGCAGCAGGAGGGGACTCTGCTTTAGCAGCGCTCTAGCACATACATTAGCAACCGGTAAGTGGAGTTTGTTAACTTGGGCTCTAGATGGAAATTGCTTCCCACCCTGGAATGATTGCCTTCTTAAGTGTGACTTAGTGACTTTCATGATGTTTAGTGTTATTTTTGTAATGAAGGCAGGCAGTCTAGCACTGAGCTGTTGTTAGTAGTGTTTTTAGGGCATTGAATGGAAATCATTAAGGATATGGTTTATCTATTTTTTAGTTTATAAACAAGCAACAATATACATTGTAAGGGCACAGCTCTAAATGCAACAGGCATATTTCTAGCCAGCAACAATCAGTGGAGAGCCAGTAGCTCTTGCCGACAGCTGGATATTTGTCCTAAAGACAGTATTATAATACCATTGCGTTTTGGGTTTTGAATTATGCTTAGTGATTTTATAGTTGAATGCATGCTAGGAATATACAGGAAAGGACAGGAAACATACAGGAATATACAGGAAACCACAGCAGAGCTCCTTCCTTAAAGGATTATATTTGTTGTGTTCGTTGGTAGTTTTTACATTGCCCTTGAAATGAGGTATAGCTCTCCTGTGGATTAGGATGTGACAGACTGTGTGAGGAACTGAGAACTCCTGTTCTCAGGTCACTTGAGCAGCCCAACCCATATGTAGAAAAAAATGACAGCAGGGTTGGAGGAGTGAAAAGCTAAGTAAGCCTGAGCAAGTGTTGCTTATTCACTCCTTTGAACATGCAGGGATGGAGAGGGATTGCATTCCTAACAGTTTTGGTCCCTGGATTCTGTGGAAGCAGTATTCCTGTGCTGTTCCAGAATTCAACACCTAAAGTAATCCTTTCACCCTTACTTTGTAGGCTCGCATAGTTCTCTATGTCATGGCTTTTTTTTTCTGATCTTTTACATCAGGCTTTTTCTCATCCTATTAAAAGTTTCCGGACTCCTTTGCATCGTGCTCGTGTGAATGGAAAGCTCTCCTTCCTCTGATCTTGCCTTTCAACCTGAGAGTCCTGTTTTAGTCCCACTCATCCCTGAAAAACAGCCTTTTCTGAGATATGTACTCAATATGAGGGAATTATTTCTCTGTTTCTCTTGGTAAACACAAATAATCGTTCAGTATTTAAAATGAGAAATTTAATGATTGCATTATGGGCTTTTTTTTTCAAGAGAAGATCAGTGACTCTGAAATGCATTTCTGGTCTGATATTCTTTTATATGAAGCCTATGGTGTTTATTCCATACAAGTCCTTATATTTCCCCTGTCATTTCAGTGTAAGATTGCCTCTCAGATTATATTAACTAAAGTGGTTGCTTTTTTGATCTGTTTTTTATATCTTTTCCCAGAGGAATGCTATTTAAATAATACATCTCATTCTCTTCTCCCCCATTCTCTCGAGGAGCTTAGTTGAGCATATGGAAATTTTCATGAATTAAGCTTTACTGTTGCATGTGGATGACTGTGCTAGTGTGGAGTCTTCTTGTATTGGTAGATTTTTTTTCTTTCATTTCAGGGTTGATTTGGGATTCTGTGTAAATAAGAAGCTTTGTTGTATATTCAGCCTTGTTCTTTGATACAGGGCACAGTGTCTGGGTTCCTCTGGACCCTGCATCAGGCTGTGATTCTTTCAGGACAGGTTGGCTCGGTTTTCCTTGAAGGGCTCCCATTCACTGTGCAGACATTGCGGGAGTGTCTCGCTTCCAGGGCTGCTCTGTTCCACTGAGCACAACAGAAATCTGATGGGGAGGTTTTGCTCTGGGGTGAATGACGTCTTTCACATCTGCGTGAGATCTCGGGGTTCCTGTTTTTTTTATTTAGCGATTGTTTTTGTCAAAGTCTCCATTTGTGGTAGTGGCAGAAGGGTAGCTGTGGACTGTGCAAAAGCTGCCCTTGGCTGCAACCTCCTATGTTTCCAACGCGCAGCACGTTGCCTGTAGAGCTCTTTGGGATGGAGGAGATAACGTAAATGTGGGATTACTGCTCTGAGGGAGGAAGAGATGAGCGCTGGCTCAAGGTCTCAACATCTGTTCCTATATAGATTGGTAGTTCAGTAGCGAAGTAGTAAAGATCAAATTAAATCTTTCTGGTAAAGGATTTCAAG